ACTTTGCTCTCCTGTGTCGGTGCACCATAAGGCTGCCTTTCAGTGGTGCTGGTCCTGCTACCAAGGTTATTGTAAGCAAATTATATCCATGAATGCCCCATTTCTGTTCTTTGATCACTAGCTTGATGCCCATTGGATTTTCATTGACTGTTTTTGTAAGTTCATCTGTTTAGTCAGTCATGATAAAAACTCATGGAGACCACAATGGGTAGAATCATTGTGTGAATCATCAATAGAATATACAGTTTTATACATCGGACAAATCTTCAGACTATCAGCTTTTCTATTATATAAGTAAACGTTTCAATGACTCTGCTTAATGGATTTGATGGATTGTATTTCTATCCATCTATTAGCTTCCAAGTTAAGTCAACTGATGTATGTCAAAGCATGAAGGCATACTCATTCTCCGCTATCCAGCACCATTACCACGAATTTGGCATAATTATTGCAGAATATTCAGGGAAAAGTCACTTCCAACATCAACTTGATGACCCAGGTGCTAGTTCTCCTGAAATTAAACAAACAGCCCTTTACATGGAAAAGTGCCAGCACACACTTTATGCAATTTGTAGTTTTACCTATGAACTCAGTACCCTAAGTATTTGCTAAGATTTGATGAGATTATTAACATTTCATTTATGTTTTTATACTACTTAACAAATATAGCCAACAATTTTATTCTTTTGTTTAAAAGGAACTCTCCAAGCACTATAACCACTACAATACGGACCTCCCGTAGCTGTAATAGAAGCAGGGAGAGGAGCCATGTGGACCTCAGTTTAAAAGTCAAAGGGGTGGGGATATAGTGCTTGAAGTTTACTTTCAAATGGAATATTAATAGAAAACACAATAGTCCAGATTATTAAAAAAAAAAAATGTATACATAATATAAGTATACTTAAAGTCCATAAAATAAAAATCTTTATGAGTAAATTTATCTGGCAGAAAAATATTTACTTGTATTTTTCAGTTATTAAAATATATTTGTTGGAATGATTAGAACTTTTTTTTTCTACTCCATGAAGTGTAAACTGATAGGATTGTGTACGATTTACATTGTTCAACAAGTTGCATGTTAGTCAGTTTTAGATACGTAATCATACTTGCACACTTTGAAATAGGAGAAATGATTTCACTGTGTATTTTATTGCAGATAAAAGATCCTCAAAATTAGTGTGCTCTTTGCAAACCATCCTCTTTCATATACAGGTCTACCACATACAGTATCTTGTAAACAGGATTTAAAGGAATAACATGCACTCTCTATTTCCATATATATATAAAATCAACATTAATAATCTTTATTTAGTTACAGCGCTGAAAAGAGACATGGGTCCATCGGGTTCAGCCTCTCACATTTGTTTTTGCTGTTGATCCAAAAGAAGGCAAAAATCACAGTTTGAAGCACTTTCCAATTTTGCAACAAAGTAGGAAAAAAATCCTTCTTGACCCCAGAATAGTAGTCAGATTTCTAATTTGATCAAGAAGCTATTACCCCACTAATACAAATACAATATACATGTAATTGGGCATATTATTTAGATTTAAAAAAATAAATAAACACATTGCAATAAATATATATTTATATTTCCTAGGCTTTGAAATGCTGTGATAAAACACACAAGTAATGTTATGGCGCTGAATTTAAAACTATAATCTATACCAATAAGCAGCACTATATATCGTGAAAAAGCTCAATCACCTATGTAAAAACAATGAAAAATTAAAGTGCGCTGTGCCTTTAAGACTCAAAACAGTGAAAATAATTTGTGCAATATTGTGCAAATAAAGTGATCAAGTGCATCAATGTGCAACTCACTTCAACATATATACATACAAAATGTGCAAAAAATTGTTTCTTTGTGCAACCAATTATGTGCAAAAATACAATACTTAGCTTTTCCCAATTATGGAATGTGCTTTAGAACTTCTGTCAGCACTCCAATATATGTCTCAAAAAGAGAAAGGAAATATACAATCATAGGGTAGTATGTACATACACAATGATAAAGAAAATGTAAACCAAAACACTCACAAGGGTAGAGCAATATAAGTCTGCTCTAAACTTTGTAGGCTTATAGTGCAATAATGTAGACTGGAAACTGTGGTGAAGTTAAATCCTTTATTGCTTCTTTAAAAATATCGCTACATAAGGCTGGTAAGTCCCACTTATATGGTCTCCTCTTATGGTTAGTGCTGGTATATGCAGCCACACTTACGGCGCCGGCTGTACAGGGTCTCTGTATGCCGAAAGGACTTCCTAATTCCAAACACTTCCGGGAGGCGAGGCTTAGCGGGCGGTGAGCGTAATGACGTCAGAGCGCAATGACGCGTTTCGCCGAGGGTTTCGGCTTCCTCAGATCAGCTCCTTTCACACCACAGTCCCAATTTATAAGTCTTAAAAAGCATTTATATATGCACATTAAGCACATCATTTATATCTTGTTCATTATTTGTTCTGCAAGAAAGGGCAGAAGCCTTGAGCAGCTGCCTGCAGGACACTGAAACAAAAATGAATGATGGAAAACAAATTAGAGGATACCAGATAAGACCATAAGACTTCCTATGGGTTTTTTTTTTTTTAAAAAACGCTGGATGGCCTCATGCAAAACGTGAGGACAATCAACTTTTTTTTCACACAGTCAAACGGAGTCTAAAACTAACACCTCTAGTGACTGTCTGTTAGTCTTAACCCTGCAAAATAAGCATCGCAGTTTCTCTTTAACTGCAATGTTTTACATTGCAAAGTAAAGGGGACAGGGACACTGCACCCAGACCACATCAATGAGATGAAGTGGTCTGGGTGCCTATAGTGTCCCTTTAACATTGACTTATATCCGCACTATATCACCTTCTGTCAATTCCTATCATGCTCAGCCATGTACCATCCTGATCTCGCAAATCTTCCTCAGATGAGTTGAACAACAAGAGATTCCTATGTTTAACAATTTATTCATTCACTTATTTTTGCTGCTGGATTTGATCAAAGTAATTGTATGGTAAAATTAATGAGAAAGAAACCATGACATTTCTGCACTGACTATATACTCACATTATTGCATTGCTACAGTAGAAACATGCAGAATTCAATTTTTCTTAACATCATTCTTTCATGTTACTTAATCTGAATGCCCATAGCTCTGTTTTAAGGTAATGACATTTGCTGGCAAAGATTCCATGTAGCTTAAGAAGATTAGAACATTCAACAAGCATTTGAAGAAATTCATTAAATTTCTATTCGCCGTTTTTTGATCTGCCTAGTCGGATGTAGACATATATGATACAAATTCTGGGAATAAAAATCTCAGTGTTTGCGATGTGATAAATTACTACATATTCATCTAACATTTGATTGTTTTGATAAGATATTTATTCTATGAGTGATTTGTCTTTCTAGTAAGATAAAAAATCATGAATAGGTTATATGTTTTTCCAGTTTAGCTGGTTGAATTTTGTAAGCTAGTTCTTAAATAACCTTAGACTGCTATTAGTAAATTCATTTTACAGTGTTCTATTTATGTCTCCTGCCTTCAAATCACAGTTAGACTTCCTTACTAGTAAGTGTCCCTGGACAATAATGATTTATACCACAACCTCAATAATATCAGAGTAGCACAAACCAAGAGATTCATGCCAGCTTGGACGTTGCTGGAAACTAGGAACATGTTTAGATAAGTCCTGCAGATGAAGTGAGAACCTAGACCTGTTTGACCGCTACTACAACTGCAGACCAAATGAGAGGGGCTACATGAAATGTATGTGAGAACTATAGCTGAATAAGATAAAACTCCCCTTTTTGTTGTCTCATTGAACATTACTTCAAATAGTTGTGGGGTTGCCTTCTTTTGGGTCAACACTGTTGAAAGATATGTTTTAAAGGTTTAACTCGATGAACCCGAGTCTTTTTCAACATTAAGACAGATGGTCATTGAAAAGCTAGCCGTTCTTACCAACTTTGATCATTGAAAAGCTAGCAGTTCTTGACCACTGGACAAGACTGACAAAGATCCCTGTACTTAATGAGGCACTACCTACAATCTTAACCAAAACCATCACAGAGAACAAGTTCACATATGCCACAACATTAGTGGTCCTCCAACAATTTGACTATAAGGTCAGGCTGAAAAGAGAAATAATGTGCTTCATGGAGGATAAGACTAGAAGCCAAGATAAAGGCAAGGAAGTAAATACGCTAGGTCACCTTCCCAAAGGTGGAAAGATCATGGATAGAACCTGGCTTCTGAAGAAATACAGGAATATGAGAGGCTCCAAACATCTAACCAAAGGCTGACAGCACCATACCGAGCAGCAACAGTTGTAATCAAAATTATTCAACCCCCACTGAAAATTAGATTTATTGTCAACATTTACAGACTTTCAGCTGTTTGCAATGAGCTAAGCAATTGAAATAGTGTAACACAACAAATGCTTCAAGTGGCTTCCCCAAGTTCAGCTGACAATGCAACTTATAAGGGCTTCCCCGTCTCTGGTCTCCAAATTATTCAACCCTTTCAATCCAAGCATCTGTAGTACTTAGTAGAGCACCCTTTTGTTGTTATGACCTGCCAAAAACAAGATTCAACGTTTTGTTAACGTTTCTGAGGAATCTTAGCCCATTGTTCATGAACAATGGCCTGCAGTTCAGTAATATTCTTGGGTTTGCCTGATGCAACCACCCCTTTCAAACCTCACCAGAGATTTTCTATGAGGTTCAAGACTGATGGCCACTGTAGAATTTTCCATGACTTCTTCTGCAACCAAGTCTTGGTGGAATTTGAGGTATGCTTGGGATCATTGTCTTGGTGGAAGGTCTAATTATGCCCAAGCTTCAGCTTTTACACAGATGGCATGATGTTTTCTGATGTTTCAATTAATCCATTTTGCTTTCCACACGCCAGAGGATGCAAAGCAGCCCGAGAGAATCACTGAGCCATCACCGTGCTTAGTTGTAGGTGGAGTGTTCTTTTCAGCATATGCTTCATTCTTCTTCCTCCAGGCATACTTCTAATCCATTAGATCGAAAAATTCCAGTTTTGTTTCATCGCTCCACAAACCAGAATCCCAAAAGTTCTGTGTCTTATTGATATGATATTGAGCATATTGTAGCCGACTTTTCTTGTGCTTTTGGGTCAGTAGTGTTGTACGTCTTGGAGTTCTGGCATGGAAACCTTCTGCATTTAGTATGGACCTTACTGTGCTCACTGAAAACTCAGTGCCTGTTGTCACCAAGTCTTGCTGCAGGTCTTTTGCAGTTACTCAAGGGTTTTTCACAACCTGCCTTCTCAGAAATTTGGTTGTAGCCATTGCTGGTTTCTGTTTTTTGCCCCGTCTAGGTAGTGTTATGACGGTTTCTTCAACTTGAAACTTGCAAACAATGTTTCCAATGTTGTCTTTAGGAACATTCAGTGCCTTCGCTATCTTTTTGTATCCTGTTTCTTGTTTTTGAAGGACTATTATCTCTTCTCTTAACTTTGTGGACCATTCTTTTGGCTCATTTTTAACATGCGGTCAAATGTGACACTCAACAAACCCATAGCCAGTTCAGGTATTTCAAATGTGTAGCTCAAGCACACCTGGAGCAAGTAATGAAGTCCTTGATTAGCTGCATCAGGTGTGCTTGAGACAATACCTGTGTTGCATATTAGTGCTGTTGTGCGGGATTCTATTCAGGGACTTAAAAATTTTGAGACTGGAAAAGTCATTACAAGTTGCATTTTCAGTTGAATTTGGGAAAACCACTTGAAGCATTTGTTGTGTACTTGTGGGTGAATACCATCAGGCCCCAGAGCTTTATTTACATTAATTTTCTTTAACTGCTGTAGCACCTTGTCTCAAGTCATCCAATCACAAGTTATCTGCAAGTTTTTGCAGCAATCATTTACATATCTCTTGCCATAGGATCCTCAATATATACTGAAGAAAAATAGTTATTTAAAATGTCTGCCTTTTCCTGTGTTGAGCTATTTCAATTGCTTTTGTTTGATTTATTCATTGCAAACAGCTGAAAGTCTGTAAATTGTGACAATAAACTGTTGCAAACAGATTAAAGTATGTAAATTTTGACAGTAAATTAATGGGGGATGAATAATGAATACAATTTGATTACAACTGTACACCAGTGAAGTAGAGAATAAATGACTTGTTTACCAAAGAACCATTCAAGGTGTGCACAAAGCTGTAGGGTAACAGTACATCCACCAAGTTTTATTGAACAGTACTGGAAGACCATCTGGGAGAAAAGCATCACATAACCCCAAGGCATAGTGGATACTAGACCTGAAACAGACTACCGCTGCATGCTCCCAGAACAGAAACCAATCACAATCACTTTAAAAAAACATCCAACAACGAATAGCCCAAATTAAGAGTTTGTCAGCACCAGGATCTGAAATGATCCACTAGATGAAAAAACTAACATCCCTGGAAAGATCTTGTATGTACGTAGTGGGGAATTGCGATGCAGCCTATAACAAAACTAACCCCATTCAACCCCCCAATAATGACAGACCACTTAGTATGGATGAACAGGCCACAGCATTTATTATCACAAACTAAATTACTGCATAACACATCCATAACTTTATTTATTAAATCTCTTCTTTTTCTGTAACCAAAACGTTAGACATAAATAAGCATAAGTTAACATATATACATATATAACTCCCACACATAGTGTTATACAGTGACCCAACCGTCCTTGCCAATAAACATACAGTGGTTCCTAATCACCACTTCCTCTCACCTCCCCCCTCGTCATAAAATCATATCTTTCCAATGCCCGCCATCAGCCGACCTTATCCACGCTCGATGGGCACGACACCTCAGGCAACCTAATGTTAACCTTTTGAAGCAGGGGAGGTTGAGACCTTAAAAACTTGTTCATCTCATTCCATATACTTAAACGTAACCCCTCAAACTCAATTGGCAAGGACATACCCCCGGCTAGCTGTGACTAAATATACCAATAGGGTGGGCGGGAGGGAAGCTGTTTGCTGGCCCGAATCCCAAGTGGCACTGAGGTAAGACCTCCCCCACACTAACTTACACAGAACATAATCCCACCCACACACTCTTTCCCATCCAATCCCATGCATCTATCCCCACACTCCTACATGTGCCCTTGTCCGCTTAGCTGCGCTATCTCCCCAGGGCCTTGTATGTACGTAGTGGGGAATTGCGATGCAGCCTATAACAAAACTAACCCCATTCAACCCCCCAATAATGACAGACCACTTAGTATGGATGAACAGGCCACAGCATTTATTATCACAAACTAAATTACTGCATAACACATCCATAACTTTATTTATTAAATCTCTTCTTTTTCTGTAACCAAAACGTTAGACATAAATAAGCATAAATTAACATATATACATATATAACTCCACACATAGTGTTATACAGTGACCCAACCGTCCTTGCCAATAAACATACAGTGGTTCCTAATCACCACTTCCTCTCACCTCCCCCCTCGTCATAAAATCATATCTTTCCAATGCCCGCCATCAGCCGACCTTATCCACGCTCGATGGGCACGACACCTCAGGCAACCTAATGTTAACCTTTTGAAGCAGGGGAGGTTGAGACCTTAAAAACTTGTTCATCTCATTCCATATACTTAAACGTAACCCCTCAAACTCAATTGGCAAGGACATACCCCCGCCACAACCACGCTGTTTTACACCTAAAATCAGCGGGGGACCCCACCACAACCAGCCATGGCCTGTTCCACCACTGCTAGCAGTGCCAGATCAACATAGAATAAGTACTGCACCAGGAAATTAAATGACCATTCGTGATCAATCCAATAACACAACATAGCGCAAAATATATACATACATATATACACATACATATACATAATGTTAGACTCCTTATGTAGCGTAAAACTCACAGGATTTAAAGCCGTCCCAGGCTCTATATAATGTGCAGGAGGGTGCCTAAAAAGGCTAAACGATATCCTTGAGGAGAGCAGCACAGGATACAAAGTGCAGACTCCAAAATTTATTGCACAAATAAACAATTAAAACAGGGACAATATGCAGTGTATAAATAGTAAAATATACTAGGCACAAAGCCTAAATAAAACACTGCAGAGGAAACAAGAAAAAATACCAGATACAATCCTTTGATATAGCAGCAATCGCGTTTCATCTCCAGCCAGAGTCGTCCTCAGTGCACCATCAACATAGGCCTCATCCGACCTCCAGCAAGCGTACCCATCCCCTCGAGATAACTAGGCCACATCCGGCCACACCCCAAGGTGAACTGGAATCCCCCAAGCCAAAACAAGAAACCCACCTCGACCGATTCCCGACTGCAGCGCACCAGGGCACTCACATTGCTGAGCGCACTGCCAACAGGAACAGGTGATAGCCTCAGCCCGGCCCCCTGAGAACCTCTGGTAAGAAACAGAATGTGTAACATGTCCAGATTCCAGAGCACCCTCAGATTGAAGAGCACCCCATACAACACCGAACCCATATCAATCCACCCAGAGATGACAAAACCCCTGGTACGTCCAAGAGGCGGGACAGCCGACCCCGTACGAGGAGGACCACACCCCCACCATGTAACTGGTGCCAGACCACTGAACCTCCCTTTCCAGGGGGGGGGCAGGGGGGCCGTAACCACGGTGAGAAATCCATTCGGAGACCAGCAGGGTGAACCTGAAGGAACCACCACCCTGACTCCCAAAATTCGAGCCCCTGAACCATTGGCGCAGGCACGCCAAGCCTGGCAGCGACCGTAGCCATCCCAAACCAGAATAAATGCCCCTCGAACACCCCACCAACTTTCCGGCAATTGATGGAAACCTGCAGTGCCTCCGATCAGAACGGAATTTGTCAGGCCATCCTGGGAACCCGTTACACCGTGTTAGGAGCCCAACCATCACCCCGTGCATTCCATCTACCTTAGGAGAAAGCGGAAAAGCCAGGGCACGTGGACCCCTAAACATCCAAGAATCGCACAGATTCCATCGACGCATCAGCCACACCGCCACTGACTTACCCGTCCCAACGACAACAGCAGTCGAGCGGCGAAACCTGAAATAAGTCCGTCCACCAAAACACCCCACCACTTGCCGACAACTGTAACCTGAACAGGAAGCCGAGCCCTGCCAATCACAGAAATCACCCCTAGCGCCCTCAACAGACGGTACCAAACATGTAGATGAGCAGTCCACTCCCGGAACCTACAAGGAAACGTCCCCATCCGTCCCGATCACTCCCACCATACTGGAGTGGGCCCCACGCCGCCTCATAGGGCGACCCACGGACCAGCTTCATCAGACCGTTGGACCAGGCGACCACCTCCACTGCCCTAACATCGACCCCGTGACACCTCTGACCGAAGTATGCCCAATAATGACCAAGACAGAGCGTCGGCCACCACATCGGGAATACCCGGACACAAAAAACCTAAGACCAGCCGCCCTAGATTCAAACAGCGCCAAGCCAGGCGCTGCCACCAGAGTAACCCTGGGGTAAAGTGTTCTGTTACATGACAAGACAGCCCGCACTGCCCCACGATGGTCCCAAAGGAAAACCCCACCTACCTGTTCTAGAGCCGGGCACCCCATGCCTACCATGCCACCAGAAAGGGGAAGCTCCAAGAACCCCAAAGCCCGCCAGAAAACCGATCCTTGCCAGTGTAATGGGCAAGAGTCAGCACACCATTGAGAGCCCAAATTGGCCCAAAACCGCCCAAAACCTACGGATATAGCCTGGGCCACGGAACTCCGAAACTCAAAACTACCCCAGGAAAACACTGTAGCAGCAGAGTGCGGACATGCTGCACCGACGGCCCTACGCATAAATGACATCGGGAGCAACCTACATGAAGGCACAGAACCACCCAATCCTGACCGTCGGGAACACAACCTGGAAACAATAAACCCGACGGGCATACCGGCAGCAGCCGTAAAACTGACTCCACAGCCACCTTTGTCAGCAAGGCCCTGCAACCCCACCCATGCAGCCCGCTGCGCCGAGCCATCATCCCAAACCTAGCCCCTGGAAGGAAACGACAACCTGGAAGGAAACGACAACTGAGCAAATAAGTAATCTGGAGATACTAACCCTGCTCCTCCTCCTTGGGCACCACAGCGAACTCCAGGGGTACCCTAAACGACTGGGAAGTAAACTTATAAGCGTGCTTGGTAAACTGGACCCACATCACCTGATGGAGCTCCCACATAAACTGAGGGTCCCCATCCCGACCGATTGCAGAGAGGAAGG